TCCCAAGGCCAGAGGTTGGAGGAAGTTAAATTATTAGTTAACCATCTGTCCAAAATGTTAAAAAGAATATGACAAGAAAGAAAAACTTCAGAAGAAAAATGAATTAGTGGAAGAAAACAACAAAAATCCCAAAAGGGTACTCGTGGCAAATTGTGCCTTGACCATGCGTTTGGATTTAAAGTCGTTGATAATACACACTTCATAAAGGGTACTAGATATAACTGTATATTAGATATTAATCAGGCTTAGTTAGCTTAGAAAGTTTCACATGATATTATCCTAGATAGAATCCAGTAAATATAATATCCAAGAGTGCAACCCCATTAATGTGTCTCAGCAGGCAGGGGTAGAAAGGACAGTAATGGCTTTTCTACTCCTCCGACCTGGCATTCTCTAGAAGAAACAAAATTTTGGCAGGTCTCAAACATACTTGAACATTTTTTCACTGAAAAGTTGCTTGAAGATAAACAATTATCTACAGAAGAAAAACTTTCGTATATTAGCAGATTATTTTTATCTAATCATAACTAATTGAATGCTGAGGTAGTGCTTCAAGGATGTGATTTGAGAATAAATAAATAAATTGCAAACATATTGAAAGTTATCAATGTTTAAAAAATTCTAAAATGCACAGCCAAGTGTTTCTTCATGTTTTTCATAAAGTATATCGAAACAAAAATTCTAAATTACAACCTAGGGTGTTGCTTTTATTGTGATCACTTGTCAATGACTTAACTATGTAAAGGCTTAATCTTCTTTGCAAAACTAGTGTTTTTCTTTGTAATTTATTCTAAAAAGAAAATGGTAGTAATATGTATATCATACAAAGTATTTTTCTTTTTAATTTATACCTATATAGATATATATTTTGTAGTGTACATATCTGTATTAATCCAACACACACACAATTATACACATATATTTCCATGTTCCTTGTTGTAAACTGTATGTGTATCCTATTTTTCAAAAATGAAAAATAAAAATTATCTCACTTTATTTGTAGCTTATCGTGTCCAATCTTGTCTCCATGATCATGCTTCATCCTTGGATGCTATGAATGAGATGTTTCATATTGAGAGAGTACTACAAATTCCATACATAGATTCAAATAGAAATAATCACTACCTGTCAATTAAATTGTTACTCAAAATCTTGGATTGAATAAAATTTGGGATAACACCTAGTTTCTGCTGTGTTTTTACCTAAGGCAGAATTCAAATCATTTTTATGCGTCATGTTAACTGGATTAATATAACAAATATTACAAAACTATTTTCAAAAATTCATACAACCAAGTAGTTTTATGAGTTTTTGTTTTCCGAAAACTGTTTTGTAAATTCTCTTAACCAAGTAGGTTTCAAATCTGAAAAAATTGAAAAAAATAAAAATAAAAATGAAAATGAAAAAGAGACCGTGCAACCCATAGGCTAGAAAACAGACAGAACCGTTAACAAACAATTTAGGGATAACTTCAAAGTCCAAACTGAAGCATGCAAGAGGGCAAGTTGAGTAATGCTACGACAAATAGTTGATTTTTCTTTTATTTTTATTTTTTATTTTTACATATTTTTTTGGTGCGATTTCAGTAAATAATAAGAATTTTTAGTCAATAATAAAGTCTTTCTTCTCGGAATTTCCATGTTTTTTCAAACAAGTTTTAAAGTTTGACTTGCCAATGATTGAACCACATGCTGCACATACACCATACACATAACTAGCAAATATGAATAATGAAGGTGTGATTCGAAAATGAGTACGGCAGTTTTTATAATTACCTTAATAGATAGAGTTTTTGTCACATCAAGTCTACTGTATAGACTAGCTAAAACATATTTTTATATCATTTTCCTTGAAAATATATTGTTGACAAAATTTTAGGAGTAAAAGCAAACACAGTAGTTTTGTCAATAAAGCATGTTTATTAATTTATTCGGCATAATAATAATAATATTATATGATTTGATGATCATGACTTGGACAAGCTATTTACAATCGTCTTTGCATCAATAGAGAAGTCACTGATGAGAGTATTCATCTGCTCCAAGGCTTTTATGCCGTGTTCGTCGCAGGTTTCAGACGCAATAGCAGCATCTTGAGTGTCTCTCCCCGCGTCTCCATATCTCCCCTGATCAAATTTTGGTAGACCGTCCTAGGTTATGCCAAACTCAACTTGGTCATAACTATCTCTACAGTCCTCCAGGCCTTGCTTGTAACCAAGGTCAGTTGCGTTACGAAGCAGTTGGCTGGCGTATAAAGAAATGTCATGGCACTTTGCTGCTGTGATTTGCATGGCAATCCTCGCTAGGCTGGTTTTGTTACTAGTGGTGATGCTCCGAGGGTCTGATGATAAAACTAAAAAGCAAACATTGGAATACAGGGTGGTTTTGCAAACGGCTCTTATTAAGGACATGTCAGCTGAGACGAAGGATTGACTGAAAAGAAAAAGAGAAACCATCAGGAGAGAGATACAGCTCTCATGACTCGCCATTTCGACTTCTCTTCTTTTCTACCTGGGTCGAGGGAAGATGAGTACATAATATTTTGACAATCATACATGCATTTATAGCCCTACTTTTCCATATTAATTGTCATTTTTATATTAGTTATATATTTTCTTAAAAAGTTATAATAATATAAGATATGGTGTGGACTACCATATTATTATGTTATCATCTGTGCCCCGTCATAATGGTCCAATTCTACACTTCACACTTTTTAAGATAACAAAATTTATTATACTACTTTATTAGACAGGCAAAAGATACATGTCCCAATTTGCCCTTTCCTTTTAAAAGTTTTATTTTGAATAAGTCCAAAATTGAATGAATTTCAAGAGACATTTAATGGGTCCACCCTTTTTGAGATTTTAATTATTTTATTAAATCAAAAGAAAAATTTAGGGAAGGAAAAAAAAAATCAAAAGAAAAATTTTGGAAATAAAAATTTTAGAGGGATATTATATAGATTTTCTCACATATATATGTAAAATTACTTTAAAAAAAATGCTATATATATTACACTTGTTGGAGCCAAGGCAGGGGTAGATACTGCAAATTAGTTATCACTTGTTTTTCATGGGTAAAGTTCAGTGTGTGTGAGGGAGTGAGAAGGTCAATTTAGACCTTTCAAGTTTCTAATATATTAGGATTAAGATATATAATAAGGAAATGAGGGTATAAATATTCACATCTTTTTAAAGATGTTAGAGACGGAAAAATAATTTGGGGTGTGAGTAATAGTTATTTTCAAAAATTGTTTTAATGTGATATTTGACCAAACCTAAAGGGGTGTTACCGAAATTAACACTTCATTTTATTTCCGATAGTTGTTTTTCTGTTGAATAAATTATTTTATTTGTCGTAAAAAAAATACAAAAAAAAGGTAAAAAATTTCATTAGTTATGGTATTATGTAAAAGGACAATACTTGCCTACTCATCAGTGAGTAGGCAATTTCTATTGACTATGTATGTGGCTTAATAAAATTATAACAAGTGTCCTAAAATTTATAAAATATAAATATAACAAAAATAAAATTAGAACTGGTTTGACCCATTTTTAATTGGATTCACTGTATCTTTTACAATTTTCCCCTAGTACACTGTATACATCCTTAACCACTATCCCTATAAATATCAGAATATGTGTATGGGAGTTATAAAAAAAATAATTGAATTGAGATATAGCAATAGTGTTTTGAGGGGTTAGTTTTGCTCTCTACCTTCTCAAAGTGGAAAATATGTGATTGATACGAAGAACCATTCTTAGAATCATAAAATGCTTCTGGTTTGTGTTTTTAAAAAAAAAAAGTTCTTGCCCTTCTTTAGTCCAACTTAGGATTGTTGCAGTGGGAACGGGGATTGCTTTGGAAGTGGAGGTGAATGGGTATTTTAATAACATGGTTTATGTATATGTATTTATATTATTTTGATCTTTCGATTCCAAAGAACAAAAACAATATATTGTTTTAGGAAGATCTTGTTTTTGGAAAGTATTGTTTTAGGAAGCTTGAATCCTAATTTTTCTCTACTTTAAAAGCTAATTTTGTACCTTTGTATGTACAAGTGTGTATAGATATATATATGGAGAGAAAGATGCGGTTAAGCCCAATTAAAATGAATTAAATACGTTCTGGTTGTATTTTTGTTATATTTTATATTTTATAAAATTTGAAACACTTATCATAATTTTATTATGCCACCTACTGAGTAAGTAGAAACTCCCTACTCACCGGTGAGTAGGCAAATATTGTCCTATGTAAAAAGGGATAATGCAATAGGAAAAAAGAAGGGAGTGGCTTCCCTAAAAATAACTAAAAAAAGAGATTGTACAAACTATACAAGAAGCAAATAGGGATAAAAAAAATAAAAAATAAAAAATAAAAATGAAAAAGAGGCCGTGCAACCCATAGGCAAGAAAACAGACAGAACCGTTAACAAACAATTTAGGGATAACTTCAAAGTCCAAACTGAAGCATGCAAGAGAGCAAGAGAAAGGATTCGGTTAATTATTATTTTGGCTTGAATATGAAAGTGAGCGAATTAAAACAATTTGAGTAATGCTACGTTGATTTTTCTTTTCTTTTTTTATTTTTTAATATATTTTTTTGGAGCGATTTCAATAAATAACAAGAATTTTTAGTCAATAATATAAAGTCTTTCTTCTCGGAATTTCCATGCTTTTTCTAACATGTTTTAAAGTTTGACTTGCCAATGATCCAATGGAACCACATACACCATACACATGACTAGCAAATATGAATAATGAAGGTGTGAATAAGTGATTCGAAAATGAGTATGGCAGTTATTATGATTACCTTAATAGAGAGAGTTGTTGTCACATCAAGTCTATTCTATAGACGAGCAAAAACATTTTTTTTATATATCATTTTCCTTCAAAATATATTGTTGACAAAATTTTATGCATTAGTTTTGTCAATAAAGTGAATAAAGCATGTTTATTAATTAATTTGGCATAATAATAATAGTATACGATTTGATGATCATGACTTGGACAAGCTCTTTACAATCGTCCTTGCATCAATAGAGAAGTCACCAATGAGAGTATTCATCTGCTTTAAGGCTTTTATGCCGTGTTCGTCGCAGGTTTCAGAAGCAATAGAAGCATCTTCAGTGTATCTCCCCGCGTCTTCATATCTCCCTTGATCAAAATTTGACAGACCTTTATCGGTTATGCCAAACTCAACTTGGTCATAACTATCTCTACAGTCCTCCAGGTCTTGCTTGTAACCAGGGTCTGTTGCGGTACGAAGCAGTTGGTTGGCGTATAATGAAATGTCATGGCACTTTGCTGCTGTGATTTGCATGGCAATCCTCGCTAGGCTGGTTTTGTTACTGGCGGTGATGCTTTGAGGGTCTGATGATAAAACTGAAACACAAACTTCAGATTCTTCGGTGGTTTTGCAAATGGCTCTTATTAGAGACACGTCAGCTGAGACGAATGATTGACTGAAAAAAAAAGAGAAACCAGGAGAGAGATACAACTCTCATGACTAGCCATTTCTTCTCTTCTTTATTTTCTTTTCAATCAAGACCGAGAAGGGAAGATGAGTACGTACTATTTTGACAATCATACATGTATTTATAGCCCTACCTTTCCATATTAATTGTCGTTTTTATATTATTATATATTTTTTAAAAAAGTTATAATAATAAAAGATATGGTGTGGACAGCCCTACCTTTCCATACTAATTATATATTTTCTTAAAAAGTTATAATAAATATGGTGTGGACTACCATATTATAATGTTATAATAATAATATAGCCCTACCTTTCCATATTAGTTGTCGGATTAGTCTTTCCTTTTTGAAATGTTATAAATTAGTTCTTACATTTAAAAAATTAAAGTAAAATAAATGTTATATTTTCTTAGTTATCATTTCTACAAAAATCTTGCAACTGAGTAATCAGTATATTTAAACCTAAAAGAACAATTTAATAATTTTAAAACGTTTACAGGCACATACATACAATTAATAGTGTGTACGTTTTAAAATTATTAAATTATTCTTTTAAGTTTAAATATACTCATTACTCAGTTGGAGATTTTTGAAAAAATGATAATTATGAAAATATAACATTTATTTTACTTTAATTTTTTAATGTAAGAGCTAATTTATAACGAGCAAGTGTTGGGTATCCCAGGGATAGATCTGACGTAGTGTCCCCAGATTGCTTATAAACCCTTCTATTCTGGATAATATTTAATTTGTACCTCAAAACTTTCGGCTAAATATGAAAATACCCTTAAATTATAATTTTCTTTCAAGAATGGTGCCATGGAAGGAAAGAGATCGAGTACACCTGCTGCATTGACTGCATAATCTAGTAACAAGCTCTCTTCTTAACTAGCCTGAGGATCTTCCTTTTGTAGTTTTTAATTCTTGTTTGTTCGACTGTTTAGGAAGCTCTCAGGTCAAGAGGCCTGAAGGATTATACAACCTGCCTAGTTGTTGATATTAGTCCATTTGATCACCCAGTTTTGCCCCCAACACCTAGGAAGAAACCACCTCTGTTCAGTTCAATTATGTTTGGGAAGAGATCTCATAATGCTATGAACAAAGCAACAAAGCTTTCTGCTTGCAGAAATGTATGCATTCACAACTTACCTTAGTATAGTGCAGCAGACACTATCAAACATTACAAGTGTGAAGAATTCATATAGTTCAATGAAATTTTTTTGCCTCAATTGTTTGATTACTGGTCTGTTTTTTTTTTTTTTTTTTTGGTTAGGTTTTGGTTACTGGTCATCTTAGGTACTATTGTGTGCATTGTTTGCTGTTCACTTGTATTTGTGCCAGTTTTGGATATCTTTTGGCAACTAAGTTCCGTTGATGAAAAAATTGTTTGTGTAAACAATAATTTTAGTTTCCATGTCTTTAAACCTTTAAGGTACTTCCGAAATTGTGATAGTAATTCAATCAGAATTAGTAGCTGTGAATGTTCTCATTTTCTCCCATCTTTTAATTTAGTGTTTTCACATAGCTAGAACTAGTCATCACATGTTATTGTCAGCTAAAAGTGACTTTGCCAGTTGATAGACTCGACTCAATGAAATAGTTTCCCAACTATATGGAATCAGTTACATCAATCCTGTTTCGTCAAAGTTTATATATATATATATATATATATATATATATATATATATATATTAACGTTCTCCATATGATAAACTAACTGCAAGGGGGATCCATGGTTGAATAGGGAGTCACGATATTATATTGTCATTTCTAGGTTAACTTGGATTACATTTTTTCTCTCGTGTCACTGGAAAATCATTAAAAGACTGAAATTTTGAAGGGATGATTGCACAACCTAGTTTCGTGATATTACCACACTAACTAGTTGTAATCATATTATGTATGTCATTTTAAGCGTAAATTAGATAAATTTTTTCTTTCTTTAATTTTTTCGGTATGTGTGTGCTTGGGAAACCTTAGTATATAAAACTCTTCAAAGGACGATGTCATAGCACTAGTTTTGTGATATATATATACACACACACACACACACATATATAAGAAGTAATGTTTCATTAAGGGACTCAAGAGGGGAGCGCTCCCAAGGAGGAATAGATAAGGCCAAGAGGGCCAATTATCCTCTCAAGCTATCTACAAAATCAACAAATTCCTCAAAAGATTTACAAATTCGTCCATTAATCCAAAAGAAAAAGGAACACAATATGGTGTATACTCAGCCTTATTAATGGAGCAGAATCATTTATACTCTGCCTTTTTAATTCATCTTGGATTCATTTAGATAATGACCTTTGATGTCAATGGGGGTACCAGGAATTGGTTCTTAAAATAGACAGTTTGTGATGGACTGATGCTGTTATGTAGCCTTTGTTGATAAGGAGATAGTTGGATGATAAGGATATAGTTGAATGATACATAAAGTAGTCCCTCATATAGATAAAATTTCAAGACTAAGCTCCTACTCTTATAACATCTTCCATGATGATATCTCAACGATCCTCAAAAACTGGTGAAACCTCAAGAGTAGGAGCTTAGTCTTGAAATTTTATCTATAGAGGAAAGACATCAATACATCTCTATACGGCAGATGCCTTTCTTGATCTCTTCCACGGCAAATGTCTATAAACGGCATCAGATTTCTCTCTGGATGATACGTTTCTACTAAATTCAACTGATCCAGGCCTACCGGTAAAGATGACAAAAATTCTATCCTCTTGTCAGTACAACGAAGATTATATTTGTCAATGGAGCAGAATCATTTATACTCAGCCTTATTAATTCATCTTGGATTCATTAAAGATTATGTGTTTGAAGATATTGTATCAATGTCATCTGTATTCTGAGAGCAGTGGCTCGAAACCTAAAGACAATGAAAATTCAAAATGTTTTTATTTATTTAGTCACAGAAATCAATTGTCAAATTCTTATATTGAATACATTTTTATCAAATGACAAATACTTGTATTGAATGCAGTTGTATTCCAATCCTCTGGGTTGGGGAATTTTATTTCAAAAATGTTTTGACTATTCCTTGTGAAAATAATGGGGACGTTCCCTCCATTATCAGTTAGTAGTTCTTTATTAGAGATGAAACTCGCGCACAATTGCTATAGAAAATTGAGAAATTCTTTCAGCTGTTATTATTATTATTATGTCAAGATTTGATTGGCCCTTTAAGTACACATTTGCTTCCAATTGTCCTGTTCTCATATTGCCTTGGATTTGTAATTATTTGTTATGCCAATTAAAATCAACTTTGTGATAAGTTTTGAATTCTGTAGCCCAATGAGAAAATTTTACATTTGAGGTATTGTTGGACGGAAATGACTCTTAATTCTCTAATTTTAACTTGTATCTCCAAATTTACAATTGATTTTGTCCATTATTTGTTGTAAAAACAGAGGCAATAGGAAAAGGTGAAAGAGAGGGGTACGTAGAAATATCTTCTTAAACATCAAACAACCTTTTAGTAAGACAAGCCAAAGTTAAATGGGATAATAATGTCTTTTTACAAGTAAAAAGTGGTTTTACACAACTGAAAATTAATTTTTAGAATGTTAGTGAAAAATACACCAAAAATTTGTAATGTGAGTGATAATAATTTTCAAAAAGTTTTTTAATGTGATAATTGACCAAACTTAAAAAGTATCGATAAAATTAATTCAATTTATTAACAACCATCATAGTTATTTATTGAAAAAAAAAAAAGAAGAAGTCAAGTTTAGAAATATGGGGGGTTAAAAGTCTCTTTCAGTTTAGTGCGACCCAATAAGTTGTTAGTCTATTCATTCTTCTTCCCTGCTATAATTCCTGACTCTTTATCTTCGTTTGTGCTCACTCTGCTAGCTGTATCACCCTATTCTCAATCCTATGACTAGCAAATAGTGGGCCACATGAGTCAAAACTATTTAAGCATTACCCAATTTTGGGTAAAGTGTCAAAAAAAACCCTCTAAATTATTGACTATTTGCAACAAATTTCTTTAACTAAAAAAAAAAAAAAAAAAAAAAAAAACTATGAATTTGGTGTAATTAAAGACAACCCAGCAAGAGACTTGATCGAAAAAATGAAAAGACAAAAGTACCCTGACAAAACAGAGGAGCCGCAGTGGGTCTGAAAAAAAAAATAATAATAAGAAAAGAAAAATCCAAAATTTTTAGAATTAAACCCACAAATTTACCCAAAATGAAATGAATAACTGCCTCTAGACTTTGTGGTCCGTATTTGAGTTTTTGCAATTTTTGTTTTTCATTTTTCAATGCATATGTGTCCTTTTAATTGGGACGTAGCCACGTCACTTAAACAATAATTCAAAATACGAATATTAAATTGCATTCACGATGCTAATTCTTTTTGAAAAGTTAAAACTAATTACAAAACTATAACATTTATTTTGTTTTGACTTTTCAATTATATTAATTTGGAAAATACAAACAAAAATGATGGACTAATAAGGATGTAACACTTGGTACCTTAATCTCATTAAGAAATAACAAATATTTACAGCTAATTTAGTTATAATTTTTACTGCTAATTTACTTTTAAACTCTCTTTGTACCACACATTAAGTGTTCCATCCTTAACATTATAACTTTTAAACATCTTTAGTATTATACTCTCTTTGTACCACATTTAATTTTTGGGGTTAGCTGGACCCTTGTTTCGAGGTAGGAAAAAAAAACGAAAAAAAGGAAAGAAAGAGAAAACAAATAAGGAAGAAAATCAGAGTAGTAATATGGAAATTACATATTTGTTTTAAAGCAGAAATTTTTTTCTTATTTGTTTTAAAGCAGTAAACCATCACTTCACTTCCACCACCTTCTCTACCATCGCTCCCTTCCATCACTCCCAACTCTGCTGTTGCCTTCCACCACCTCCGTCACTGTCGCCACCGCTTTCCACCACCAACATGGCCGGTAGTTTACTTTGTCTCATTTTGTTTCTTGCCATTCCCATTTCCATTTCAGGGTATAAAACCACATATGTGGTGTCAAAGGATGGGAGTGGAGACTATCGCAGCATCTCAAAAGCCGTTTCTGCAATACCTAATTCAGCTTCGGCCACATACATCATTCACATCAAGCGGGGAATTTACAACGAAGCAGTAGATGTGGGTATGTATAAGAACAGTGTCGTGTTCTTGGGAGATGGAATTGACCACACCATAATACAGTTCAGTAAGAGTACTTCCACTGGTATTGGGACAGACGAATCGGCCACTGTCAGTATGTGATCACTATCCCATCTCTCTTCCTTTATAAATGCGTGCGCCATTGATCCACGAATCTGATATTAAACTGATAAGAACATATACTACACTATTTTTTTTTTTTCGTATTTTATTTTTGGGTAACTCTGGTATCCGGAAATGCACGAATCCTTAGGGACCCTCAACAAGCTGAGACTAGTCACCAAGAACTATCGGGGACTCGAACCCCAAACCTAAGGCTTATGAAGCACCTCATGACGTGTGTATATTGTGTACATGCAGATATAGAAGCAAGACGTGTGTCTATTAATGTGTACATGCAGATATAGAAGCACAACATTTTGTTGCAAAAGACATCAGCTTTGTGAATTCTGCCGGAGTCAATGCCGGACAGGCAGTTGCTGTGAGAAGTGTAGGCTTAAATCATGCATTCTATAGGTGTAGTTTCAAAGGATACCAGGACACTTTGTTTATGATTTTCGGCAGGAAAGTTTTCTACAAATGCAACATCTTTGGAACCCTAGACTTCATCTTTGGTGACGCAGGCATCATGTTCCAGAATTGCAACATATACGGGAGAAATCCAGAGAATGAAGGATTGCCCATTATTGTTACAGTTGAATCAAGGGGTATAGCGAACAATGAATTTTCGACATGCACTCTGTGCACTTATCGTCGTTCTGAAGCAGAATCTTTAATGTATACTGTAATTAGATATGGGTCCCACTCAATTGACACTTAGCTTGATTCAGTTAGAGAAATAGGTTATTTGTTTTGCTATTTCTTGAATAATTTTAAGCCTTGATTCCCTTAATGTCATGTGCTGAACATTTGGTTCCTTGTTGATTTAATTTTGTTTCAATTCGTCATCCTCCATCACAAATATAAGCTTCTTCTTGTTGCTGAATTTCTTTTCTTTTTTTTCCTGAATGGGATTTTTGTTTTATATATAAATCAGAATAGTACAATTACAAACATGGAGGACATCCTCCGGTACAAAGCAAGTAATGGACTATGTCATTTTCAAACCAGCAAAGGAAACCCGAGCTAGACTAGAGTGAACCAGAAGAAACAAAAACAAAACAAACCAGAACTAAAAAATCCTGCTCTAAAAATTTTTGATCTTGAAGTCCATTAAAGCTTGCATCTCTGCAACAATCTCTCTCAAACCAGAAACATCCACAGCATTGAAAATATCTGAGAAAAACTTCAGCAACAGAGTAATTCAAAGGCCTGCTCAAACATCAATCTTGAAATCCGATGAGACCAGCCCATTGTTATTAACCAAACTCCAATTCCAATTGAAACCAGAACTTTCCAGCTCTTCTCTCCTCTGCATCCAGACTCTTGCTTAGATTTTTTTCAAGCTCCATCTGTTCAGGTAAACACAAATCTGTATTTTTCTGTAGCAAGTTTTTGCTTATGGATTTTGTTTTTTGGATTAGTTTGGTTGTAGATTTGATTATGGATTTTGTTGGTTGGGTGCTTTTTGTTGTGAATTTGATTTTTAATTTAGGGATTTGTGGTTTTTAGTTTACTGATTTGGGTTTTTGATCAGTTTAGGGTTTAGAGATTTGTGGTCTTTAGAATACTGAACCTTCTTTTTCTTTGTAGAAAGTGTTGGTACATCTTCTTCTTCAGTGCAATCAAAATTTACAGAATTTAAAAGCCCAATTTAACAAATATCACAAAATAAGTCCAAAATTTCTCCTATTCCCTGCTCTATCCTCGTATCTAATAGGCTGTATCCATCCGAATGTTGGTGGACTTCTCTTTCTCTATCCAACCGAATGTTAATGGGCTTAAATTAATGGAGATTTTAAATACAGCATTGTGCAAATTTTGTATGAAACGAGGTAAAGAATGATGGAACTGCTTTCAGAGACTGAAACCAAAACCTGCAAGTGAAATAACAAACCATGCCAGTCAGTACATTCCCAGATAGCTAATGCTGCATAATGAACCTAATCGAGTGAAGAAATCATATAAACATGGCTATGCATAAGTAATAGTTTTATACGCTTTAAAGCAACCAACCCATTCATGGTCATAATACCTTGTTAAGTGACTGTAAGAAAAGTTTCTCATCAAAACACCAACTGCTCATGCGCTTGAGGGGAGCTAAAAACCAAAAACAAGTACCAACGATCAGTAAGAACAAAATCTAAATAAATTATCCTCCATTTAAAAATAACTGCTCAAGACCTATCCGCATGCAACACTGCATCAAGTCTTGTAGTAGATGAAATTTTCAAAAAACAAGAAAATAAAAAATCAAAAAAATTCTCATAAAGTTGAACAGAAGAATTTGAATATTGAATTACACAAATCTCGGGCTCACTAGTCGAAGGGAATCCAGAGGTGTGACTTGTGCAAATCTCAAAGTTTTGGACAATTTTACTCATATTGAGTTGGAAGAGCTGAATCCCAAGGCCAGAGGTTGGAGCAAGTTAAATTATTAGTTAACCATCTGTCCAAAATGTTAAAAAGAATATAACAAGAAAGAAAAACCTCAGATGAAAAATGAATTAGTTGAAGAAAACAACAAAAATCCCAAAGGGTACTCGTGGCAAATTGTGCCTTGACCATGCGTTTGGATTTAAAGTAGTTGATAATACACACTTCATAAAGGGTACTAGATATAACTGTAACATTAGATATTAATCAGGCTTAGTTAGCTTAGAAAGTTTCACATGATATTATCCTAGATAGAATCCAGTAAATATAATATCCAAGAGTGCAACCCCATTAATGTGTCCCAGCAGGCAGGGGTAGAAAGGATAGTAATTATAATTACGTTAATAGAGAGAGTTTTTGTCACATCAAGTCTATTCTATAGACGAGCAAAAACATTTTTTTTATATATCATTTTCCTTCAAAATATATTGTTGACAAAATTTTAGGAGTAAAAGCAAACACATTAGTTTTGTCAATAAAGTGAATAAAGCATGTTTATTAATTAATTTGGCATAATAATAATAGTATACGATTTGATGATCATGACTTGGACAAGCTCTTTACAATCGTCCTTGCATCAATAGAGAAGTCACCAATGAGAGTATTCATCTGCTTTAAGGCTTTTATGCCGTGTTCGTCGCAGGTTTCAGAAGCAATAGAAGCATCTTCAGTGTATCTCCCCGCGTCTTCATATCTCCCTTGATCAAAATTTGACAAACCTTCATCGGTTATGCCAAACTCAACATGGTCATAACTATCTCTACAATCCTCCAGGTCTTGCTTGTAACCAGGGTCTGTTGCGGTACGAAGCAGTTGGTTGGCGTATAATGAAATGTCATGGCACTTTGCTGCTGTGATTTGCATGGCAATCCTCGCTAGGCTGGTTTTGTTACTGGCGGTGATGCTTCGAGGGTCTGATGATAAAACTGAAACACAAACTTCAGATTCTTCGGTGGTTTTGCAAACGGCTCTTATTAGAGACACGTCAGCTGAGACGAATGATTGACTGAAAAGAAAAAGAGAAACCAGGAGAGAGATACAACTCTCATGACTAGCCATTTCTTCTCTTCTTTATTTTCTTTTCAATCAAGACCGAGAAGGGAAGATGAGTACGTACTATTTTGACAATCATACATGTATTTATAGCCCTACCTTTCCATATTAATTGTCGTTTTTATATTATTATATATTTTTTAAAAAAGTTATAATAATAAAAGATATGGTGTGGACAGCCCTACCTTTCCATACTAATTATATATTTTCTTAAAAAGTTATAATAAATATGGTGTGGACTACCATATTATAATGTTATAATAATAATATAGCCCTACCTTTCCATATTAGTTGTCGGATTAGTCTTTCCTTTTTGAAATGTTATAAATTAGTTCTTACATTTAAAAAATTAAAGTAAAATAAATGTTATATTTTCTTAGTTATCATTTCTACAAAAATCTTGCAACTGAGTAATGAGTATATTTAAACCTAAAAGAACAATTTAATAATTTTAAAACGTTTACAGGCACATACATACAATTAATAGTGTGTAGGTTTTAAAATTATTAAATTATTCTTTTAAGTTTAAATATACTCATTACTCAGTTGGAGATTTTTGAAAAAATGATAATTATGAAAATATAACATTTATTTTACTTTAATTTTTTAATGTAAGAGCTAATTTATAACGAGCAAGTGTTGGGTATCCCAGGGATAGATCTGACGTAGTGTCCCCAGATTGCTTATAAACCCTTCTATTCTGGATAATATTTAATTTGTACCTCAAAACTTTCGGCTAAATATGAAAATACCCTTAAATTAAAATTTTCTTTCAAGAATGGTGCCATGGAAGGAAAGAGATCGAGTACACCTGCTGCATTGACTGCATAATCTAGTAACAAGCTCTCTTCTTAACCAGCTTGAGGATCTGACTTTTGTAGTTTTTAATTCTTGTTTGTTCGACTGTTTAGGAAGCTCTCAGGTCAAGAGGCCTGAAGGATGATACAACCTTCCTAGTTGTTGATATTAGTCCATTTGATCACCCAGTTTTGCCCCCAACACCTAGGAAGAAACCACATCTGTTCAGTTCAATTATGTTTGGGAAGAGATCTCATAATGCTATGAACAAAGCAACAAAGCTTTCTGCTTGCAGAAATGTATGCATTCACAACTTACCTTAGTATAGTACAGCAGACACTATCAAACATTACAAGTGTGAAGAATTCATATAGTTCAATGAATTTTTTTTGCC